GTCTACAACAGGCTGTCTTTCAGGCTTGTCTACTGCCACACCCTACCTCACATCTGACACCAGAGGCTGCATCAAGATCTATGGCAGGATCATCTGAAGCAGACCTCCAATAGGGATTAGTGTGAGCATGATTTATGCTGGGCAGTTCCCAAGAGAAATGCTTACAGGAGTGAGGAAAGCAACAAGGGGTTCTCTAAGAATGCAGGTTCAGGTGCTGTCTAGCTTCAAGCTGATCCTGTCAGGTGCTTTACAGTGGAATTCCTAGCCCTGTGGTTTGTTTCACTTTGAGGTTTGGGAGTTGCGAGTTCCAGCTTAACTCCCAGTCCTCCTAAGTGAGGAGGCTTAGATCAAGGGCAAGCTTCCTGAGAAGTATGAAGTATATAGATGTGCACCTTGAATGTGTGAAAAGGATTTTTTAGGTGTGGTGGTGCTGGTGTAGAGGGCGAGGGGGAGAGGGAATGAGGGGGGGAGGGGGGACATTAGCATCTGCTACAATCCATTTCAAGATCTCACTGTTCCTTTAGAACAGGGATAGGGAACCTTTTTTCTGCCAAGGCCATTTGGATATGTATAACATCGTTCACAGGCTATATAAAATTATCAACTTAACAATTAGCATGCTATATTTGGTCAGACATCTAATTACTTCACAGGGGCCAGACCAAATGATTTCATGGGCCTTATATGGCCCTCAGCCTAGATATTCTCCACCCATGCTTTAAAACATCATCCCCTTTTAACACTTATCTTTTCTGCACACGTTGTTGCCTTTGCTTAGAGTATCCCTTACCTCTTTTTATTACCATTCAAGATCCTATTTCGAATGATAAATTATTTCTACTGCCACAGACTCAGTTTGTACTCATAGTTATTATCATTAAGTATCATGACTTAGCTGCACATACATATGACTCACTCAATAACTTCTTGTCTTCTTGAGGTCAAGAACTGGTTCTCATTCGGTCTGTATTTTTAGCATATAGTATTTCTGAAAGGAATGATGAGAGAGAGAGAGAGAGAGAGAGAGAGAGAGAGAGAGAGAGAGAGAGAGGAGAGAGGAGAGAGGAGAGAGAGAGAGAGAAAGAGAGAATACTGAAGGATCTGATGTTCTTTAAGGTTATGTGAAACAAATAATGTGGTTGACTTTTATTTGCTTGAACTTGAAATTTTAATGTTTTGCAATGAAACAGTTTGTATTTAGAAGCTGGAATACCTCTGTAGCTTAAGCAGCCCATGCTTATTTGATCCACTTGTTCAATTGTCATGTATAATTTTATTCAAAAAATACTTGTTGAGCATATTTGCCAGGCACTTGGTTAAGAACTGGAAACATGAGGATAAACAAGACCTAAATGATCTCGGTTCTCACAAAAAATCTTATGATTCAATGACATACATACAAAAATTATGCAACCATACAGCATGATAAAAGCAGTGATTGAGGGAGTGTAGGGAGCTATGGAAACACCAACACAATCGAGATTTCAGTTCACAAAAGCTTTCTAGAAAAGGAATGTGAAAGCTGGGCCTAAAGGATCAATGAATGTTAAAATGAACAAATTTTACTAATCAAATATTGATTGGTTTCTTCAGTCTAATTTGAGGCCCTATCAGTCTTTGAACTGAATCTTAAATTTATGAAAATAATTTAAAATAAGTTATTTGTGACCTCACATAAGTTCAACTAAGTTTATTATCTGTATCATGACAGGATTTTTTTTTTTTTTTTCAATCCAAACCAGTCAGTAAGATGTATACTTTTATGGATAATATCTTTCTCTAAATCAGCTGAATCCCACTATAGGAATCCTTGAGGAGTCACAGTAATTACTTGAACTTTGCAACATTTTACTTATGGTATCCTTGGATCTTTATATTTCAGATTTTTACATATGACATAAATATGGCTTTACATATGTTAACTCTTAAAAAGCTTAAAAAATTCTGCAAGAAACAAACAAAAAAAATTGAATTACCATATGACCCAGAAATTTCACTTCTGGGTACCTATCCAAAAGAATTGAAAGTAGAGTGCTGAAGAGATATTTGTATACCCGTGTCCATAGCAGCATTATTCACACAACTAAGTGATAGAAACAACCAAACTGCCCATCTACAGATGAAAGAGTAGACAAAATGTGGTTTGTGCATACAATGGAGCCTTTGAAAAGAAGGAAATATTAACACATGGTACAACATAGATAAAGCACAAGGACATTATGCTAAGTGAAATAGCCAGCAATAAAAAGACAAATACTGTCTGCTTCCACTGATGTAAGGTGTCTAGAGTAGTCATATTCATAGAAATAGTAAGTAGAATGGTGGTGGTTACAAAGGGCTGGGGAAGGAGAAAATGAGGAGCTTTTGTTTTATGGGGAGAGAGTTTCAGTTTTGGAAGGTGAAAAGTTCTGGAGATTGGTTACATAACAATGTGGATATACTTACTGTCACTAAACAATACATTACAATGATTAAGGTGGTAAAATTATAATATGTATATATTATCACAATTAAAAAAAAGCTTTTACAAATGAAAGTAATAATTGCTAGCATTTACTTTCTAGCATTAAAAAAAACTTTTAAAAAATGAAAGTAAGATTTCTAGCATTTACTTTCTAGCATTCTAACATTATACATTTAAAATTATTAAGGTGGTAAAATTATGTGTATATTACCACAATTTTTTTAAAAGCTTTTTAAAATGAAAGTAATGATTTCTAGCATTTACTCCACTATCCTGAGTTGGGTTGGTGAAAATAAAAGAGTTAAAAAGTAATGAGGCTCAGCTCATGCGGTGGTGTTGGGGGTAAGGAAGCTTAAACTCTGCCCTGTGGGTGGTGGCAGCCACTAAAGGGTCATAAAGAGAAGGACTTTGTCAGTTTGTGACTCAGAAAGGCCCCTGGTGCAGGGTAGAGGATAGTTGGGCAAGGGGCAGCTTCAGTGGCAGCCTAGCCAGCTTAGAGCTGATGAGAATCTGAATGTGGGCAGATCAGTGGGTTGGTTTGTGGTAGTGGGGGATGAAGATGGAGTAGTTTCAAGATATAAATTCGACAGACTCAGTGATTTATTAAATTGGCAGATGGTGGGGGGGAAAGAGAGGATGGAGTCAGAATGACTCCTACTTTTCTGGCTCGGATAACTGAATAGGTGGCAATGCCTCCCTGAGAGAATTGAAGATGGGGAGGAGGTGTGGGGGGTAGATGGGCTGAAGGCCCAGACACTGTACCGGGCATATGCACCACCTTCTCCCACTCCCAGTGAACACATAACTGATCAAGAATGAATGTTAAACCAGATCTTTATTTCCGAGGCAGGTTACCTCCCAAATCATTCACAGGGCTAAGAAAACAGACGGATGGTATTGTGCAGTCCACAGAAATGCTCTAACCTCATTTTGAAGTGTGTTCTCTCTCCAAGAGGCGTTATCTACCAAAATTGTCCATTCAGTTATCAGATGTGGGCTTCCTCACCTCAAGGGAGCTGGGAGGGTTTGGTGATTGTAGAGAGAGATTTCTGATGTAAATGAACTGAACAAGGTCCCGGCTCTGTTGCCCATTACTAAGGTGACCCCAGACAAGTCTCTGAACCTCTGTGAGTGTCAGTTTTGTCATAAGAAAAATGGAGCATCGCCGAAACCAGTTTGGCTCAGTGGATAGAGCGTCGGCCTGCGGACTGAGGGGTCCCGGGTTCAATTCTAATCCAGGGCATGTACCAGTAGGGGATGTGCAGGAGGCAGCTGATCGATGATGATGATTCTCTCTCATTGATGTTTCTAACTTTCTATCCCTCTCTTTTTCTCTCTGTAAAAAATCAATAAAATTATTTTTAACAACAACAACAAAAAAAGAAAAAAAATGGAGCATCATACGGTAGGTAAGAAGGATTGCAATGGAAGAACAGATGAGAGTCCTTTGCAAACTATAGTCAACATGTTGTTTGCTGTGTTTTTGTTTTGTTTTGTAATTAATATTAAGCTTAGGACATGGAGAAGGCCTCTCTGGGAAATACAAGCGATGATAATCAACTTCTGAATAAAAGTGGACAACAGATTGAATGGCCAACCCTTCTTGTTACTCAGATTATGAGTCAGACTGAGAGCTGATGTTCAAAAAGGTCATATTTTCACCTAAAAAAAATTAAAGAAATGCAGGCATGCTTTTGTAAGAAAACATGTTGTTGGCAATAGGATATAATAAAAATAACTGTTGGTGATAATAATGCGGTACTGGGATAAGGTTAAACTTGAGACGATGTATGATAGTATTTGGACCTCGGCCCATAATACCCCATAATATCGTTCACAGAGAACAAAAGCAAAGCAAGGCACACTAATATTTTACTAGCTCGGTTGTGAGTGGTACTTAGAATTCTTAGGAGAAATGATTCCCGATATTTAACATGACCGACACTGTTTTATGAAACAAGCTGACCGGCAGTTCCCTCCAGGAGGTTTAGACCCCTGTCACCTGAAAAGAATAAGCCGGCCCATTAAGTTGTTTACTGCTTTGGATTAAACCAGGGGTCTTCAAACTTCTCTCATTATGAGAATCACCTGGTGGAGGTGTTAAAACACAGATTCCTGATAGCACTTCTTATAGTTGGGATCCGGGAATCTGTGTTTTAACAACTCCACCAGGTGATTCTCATAATGAGAGAAGTTTGAAGACCCCTGGATTAAACAGTTCTTAACAAGCACTTGCCTCTCCTACAAGCCACCTGTGCTAGGCAGTGCCTCTGGGCACCCTTCCATAGCCCATACGTAGAGCTAGTATGTTGTCAGGTGAAAGCAATTCATCAGTTTTGGTCCATTTTGACAGCTGGTTCGCTTTTGCTTGCACTTGACCTGGTGTGTGGTGACCACCAAAAACGTCTTCAGCAAAGCCAGTCTGGATGCCAAGGACAGGTACACTGCGTCCTGCAATCGCAGTTAGCATGTGAGGTTCAGGGCCATACCCTCTGCAAGCACTCATGCTAGTTTTCTTTCTTGCCTTTTCACCTAGAAGTATCGATACCAAGATGAGGACGCTCCGCATGATCATTCCTTACCTCGACTGACCCACGAAGTGAGAGGCCCCGAGCTCGTGCACGTGTCAGAAAAGAACCTGTCGCAGATTGAAAATGTCCATGGATACGTCTTGCAGTCCCACATCTCTCCTCTGAAGGTCAGTCTGGTTGGCCTGGGAGCTGGTGGCCGGCTGCGGTGGGTCTGCTTTGCTAAGGGCGATGTCTGCGGGCTTGATAAAACGAGGCTTTTCAAAAAACGCTCCAGTGGACTGTGGTTGCTGAGCGGTTGTTTTCTGTTGTGTGGAGGCTTTACATGGAAATCTTGGCACAGGGTGGTTGTTCTTGCAATTGTGGGAAGGTGTGGAAAACCTGTTTAGGTGCTGAGAAGGGGCTAGGGACAGCCCCGGGGGAATAACTGGAAGGGAAAGGAAGTGAACCTCAGGTTTAAGAAGGCCAGGACTATACCAAGGTTTTGTTCAAATGGTCTTTTCCTGTCTCTCTTCCTGGTCTCAGATCAAATGATGGGAGTAAGTGTAACATGAAAACACCTTAGTGTCATACTTTTCCAACACTCTCTACCTTCTTATTTAATGTTAAGCAATGTCATGATAAACAGGATTTTGACAAGGAGAGAAAATGAAATGAAAGCAAGGGTTTTCTGTGCTCCTCGGTTGCAAATTACTCTGTCTTCGCGGATGCAATGGGATCTTTGTGCTTTGAATAAAAGCTTATGTGTTGATTAAAGTTAAAGAAAAATTGAATGTAATAGATGTAATAGAAGAGAACTGAAATGAAAAAACAAAACTACCACAAAACTACCTGGGAACCTAGGTTACTGGTAAAAAAGTTTTATTTCGTTAGCCAGTACACTCACTTCAGCAGTTCTTCTGTACGGTTGTTTTACAATAAAATATACAGCCATAAGGTGGCTTTGATGCTTTCTGGAATCTTATACTTTCTGAATTATCAAAGAAAGGATAAATTATGTTCAAAATAGCTCCAAAATTGGGCACATTTTAAGTAACCAGAATCCTAAAAATGTATTATCAAATTCACTAGCTCTTGTTACCACTAATTAATTAAAATAGATTAATTCTAAACATTCAGTAAGTACTTTATAATATGTAAAAATAAGTAAATGTTATGCCTCTGGAAATCCTTGTTCAGTTCTTCCCTGAGCCTTTTGGAAAGGATTGAATGGCTGATGGGAATGAATATGTTTAACCCAGAGAAGAAAAAGTTAAAGGGATTTACCTTTTAGACCTCAAGGGCTGTCATATGGAAAATACAGCATTGGTGCCACCCAGAGGGTAGAGCCAGAGCCACTGGGCATAAGTAATAGAAATGTTCATTTGTGATCATTATAAGATCACAAATCCTGACAGTGAGAGTCGTCCCCCCCCCCCCCAAAGTGCTGTCCCTAGACACCGTTCTGGCCTGGATGATGACCTGACAGTGGTGGTGTTTAAAACTGTCCCTCAGGCTCAGCCTGATTCTAGGAATCAGTAATTCTATTCTGTGGGCAAATACCCTTCTTCTTTAAGGACTTCTTTTGTAAAGGAATACTTATTCTGTGTGCTGACCAGCATAAACTGATAGGTGGCAGAGCTGGGAGATGGTCCGCAATGAGAAGACTACAATTTCAGTTCACTATTTTTTCTAAATTGTTGAAAGAATCCCGGTAAGGACTTCCATGGAGCTTTCCTTCTTATTTTCCTCCCAGCATGCATTTTCCCCTTCTTTGCACTTCCTTTTTAATCAGCTCTATAGCATATCTCCTAAGTGGGATAATCAAGGCTGGTCTAAAGCTAGCCTGGTTACGGGGGACGGGGGGGGGGGGGGGGGGGGGGGCGGGAGAGGGAGGGAGGAAAACAAAGAAAGGAAACAACCATAAAATATGATAGTATCTTCATTCTGTATATTGTGTCTTCAGCATATATATGATACTATAATTATTTGACCATCTATAGTTTGGGTGATTGCACAATGTGTTATGCTACTTAATGCCTTGTTTGGAAAATGTATATTAGAGCTGAAGGCAAAGGTTGCTTTTTATGGAGGTTAGACCAGATCTCAGATATAAAAAGGTATTTCCTGTTTTGCCTTTATCCCTTGCCTTCCAGGGATCTGACTTGTGCCTTCAACTTCAGTGGCTTTTCTTAACTTAGGTTTTCAATTTCCCCCTTGTATCTCATTCCTTATTCTGTTCTTGAAAAAAAATATATATATATTGGTTTCTATGTTTTTTGTGGTGATGTTTTTATTGAATGGGCCTCACCTATGAATAAGCCCCTGATGTGAAACATTAAGGTTAGAATAGATTTTCCCTCCTTGTGGGAACCACCAGGACGTGAGCCCCAAGGTGCTGTGAAGAGGATGGGAAGGCAAGTTCACCCAGGACTTCTGCACCCAGGCTGTGAGGTAGCTATTAGGAGGCCAGGAGTTTTCCCTCATGAATGGCTAGAGGTGTTGTTTCTGCTGAACTCTTGTACTTTTAGATTGCCTTAATGAAGAGTCTGTGCATCTTTCTTCTATTAGCAATAATGTGAGGAATAAAAACACAACATTCGGATGTGTAGAGTTGGCCAATTTCCTAGTGTAAATGCTCCTTACATGACTGATTTTAGGCTACCGACCGGAATGTTTTTAGGAAGAGGGGCACATAGGCTCTCAGCAGCCTGCAGGAGCATAGGACCACACACCAGGCTCAAGCGCAATTGTTTTTATAGCATCAGGACCCATTTTCTAACCAAGTTGCTAAGGCGCTATGATATTATTCCCATTCCAGTGTTTGGAAAACCTGCCATGATTGAAATCTAATGTGCTATTTTCTCATAAAGGAAGCCGATTAGAGTCGGAGGAATGCTAAGGAGATATAGTCCTCCATCAGAGCTGGCATATCATCAACCTCTTTGCTGCTTCCCTCTGTCTGGTGCTCTTGGGTCAAGCATTAAAGGGGGGAAGAGTAAGGAGGCAAAACACACAATCAGGGACTGCCCCCTGCATCCTCGTTAGCATACACTGTAGCTCTCTAGTCTAAATCAGGAATTGGTGCTCAGCAATTCAGCAAGAGTGCGAGATGGCTGGCTAACAGTTTAAATGTCCTGGTGAGCAGCCTCTGGGTCATTAGCTGAGGAATCCCACTGCCGCAGGTTGCACAACAGTTTCTTTCATCCTGTGTATCCCTTGAAGCCTGGGTTCTGAAATTCATCTGCGTCTGGCCTGCCCCGCTGCCTGGCTGATAGATGGGCTTGCCTGGCTTGTTTTCCTTGGAGTGGCTCAGCCAGTGTGAAGTATGGGGTTGGAAAGAGAAATGCAATTTAGCGGTCAATTCAAGGGAATTTGTTTTCCTTGCCTCCAGATGGGAATGCTTTCTCTTTAGATGTTATCTAGACTCTTCCACAAGAGAAATTGGCCTATAAAGGAAGCAGGAGAATTTCTCTTTTTCGGTTTAGATCAATTTAATTAATATTAATTGAGTGCCTATTATGTGCATCATAATAAGTGATGGGGAAACAAAGGGCAGTAAAACATGATATATATATATCACTCTCCTATGGGAACCCGAGTTTTAATTATTCATTACTTACTCTACAACAGGAATTCAAATTCCTAAAGCTTAGATACAATGAGACCCCAAGCATCTGAGAGTACTCTCTAAAAAGAAGAGGGAGAGGGAGAGGGAGAAGAGAGGGAGAGGGGAAGAAGGGCAGGCTGACTTATTTTTAAGAATCTGAACATTAGAATACCTGGATTTTAATCCTAGCTCTTTCATTTATTAGCTGTATTACCTTCATCAAATTAATCCCTCTGTCTCAGATTCTGCATCTATAAAATACAGGTGATAATAATAATTTATCTCAGAGTTTCTGTGCGAATTAAACGCTATAAGAGATGTATACTACTTAGAAACTGCCTGGCACATATAATAAGCCCCTGATAATAATAATTTATCTCATAGAGTTTCTGTGCAAATTAAACGCTATAAGAGATGTATACTACTTAGAAACTGCCTGGCACATAGTAAGCACTCACCAATATTGTTGATTTTTATCTTCTTATTATCATCAGCCAGCTACCATGACAAATACCTTAAAATCACTTATTTCATTTACCTCATTTTATCGCTAAAATATATTACACCTGGTTTTAAAATTAAATAGTTCCCACCTGGCTGGTGTTGCTCAGTGGTTGAGTGTTGACCTTTGAACCAGGAGGTCATGTTTTGATTCCTGATTCCCAGTCAGGGCACATGCCTGGGTTGTGGGCCCAATCCCCAGTGTGGGTCATGCACAAGGCAGCCAATCAATGATTCTCATAATTGATGTTTCTAGCTCTCTCTCCCCCTCCCTTCCTCTCTGAAGTCAATAAAAATATATTTTAAAATTAAATAAATAGTTCCCTTCAACCACTTAACTAGTAAATAGGATTCCAATATTTTCAACTAAGGTCTCTCTGAATCCAAAGCCTGTATCCCTTATCACTCCTGTACAATATCACTTTTCTAAATTGGTCTGATATTTTTTAAAATATCTAAAATTTAAATTTTTATTCATTGTTTTCGTGAGTATAACAGTTGAAGCTCCTTTTCTACTGAGAACCTTATTCTGTAAAATTAAACAGATAAAAAATGCAAGGGGATGTCTAAGAAATTTAGTTTTCTAAATGAGAACCATAGTAAGTGGTGATAGATGGAAATGAAACACTATGAGGAAATAGAAGGAAAACAAGTCCTATCTTGAAAATCTTTTTTTTTAAATATATTTCATTGATTTTTTACAGAGAGGAAGAGAGAGGGATAGAGAGTTAGAAACATTGATGAGAGAGAACCATCAATCAGCTGCCTCTTGGACAGCTCCTTCTGGGAATGTGCCCACAACCAAGGTACATTCCCTTGACCAGAATCAAACATGGGACCTTTCAGTCCCCAGGCCGACGCTCTATCCACTGGGCCAAACTGGTTTCAGCATTGCAGGTAGGTTAATTTAAAATGTGTTCAAGCCCTAGCAGGTTGGACTCAGTGGATAGATCATCAGCCTGTGAACTAATGGGTCTTGAAAATCTTTTAATCCACCCAGTAGAAAACTCCCCATTGACTATGTTCCACTCCCATGACAAAAACTAGTATTTAGGGTAGGGGTGTCGAACTCAATCAGAG